CTGGGCCTCCAGAGCTGCTCTCTGCTCTGCTGCTGCTGCTGCTGCTGTGAGCGGCCAGCCGTCAGCTGGAGCCACACAGGAAGGCCTTCCCCGCTCTGTTCGCTTCCTGTTTTCACTCTGAGCTTCCTGTGTTTCTGTCCTCACTGGACAGATGCTGCTGGGGGGGGGAGAGAGGATGGGGGGGCTCAGGTGAGGAGAGGAAAGGGGGGGCAGAAAGGAGGCCCTGGGTTCCTGGTGCTACGTGTGTTGCCCAAAGTAGCCCTTGGGCAGCTTTGGGCTCTGTGTTCCCTCCATCCTTCCCTCGCACACCGGCTTCCGTCGTGCCTGCCCCCGGCCGCAGAGCGATCCGGACAACCCTCCTCGGGGCACCTCAGGGGGTGCTGCTGCTGCTGCCCCAGAATCTCTCTCGCCTGGGTTGCATCCCTTCCTTGGACTGCCCTTCCCTCCCGGGGTGGAGGCGCAGGTCTTCTGGCCGGCTCTCAAGGACGGGACAAGGCCGTGCGGTGCCCCCATGAGCCCCAGCTCCCTCCCTCTGCCAAGCACACCCGGCCCGAAGCTGGGCCAGAGGGCCTTGGGGGCTCCTCCAGGTTCTAAGGAGGAGGCTAAGCTAAGCCAGGCCGGGCTGGGTCTCCTTCCAAGGCACCTGCCGCCTCCTCCTCCTCCTCCTCCTCGGTTGGCGTTGGCCGGAGAGGCTGGGGCCAGGGGTCCTGTGTGGGCCACCCTGGGGATAGGCGGAAGTGGGGTGGGGGGGAGAGAGGGAGAGCTTTGGGTGGCTTTGGCCTCAGGCAGGCCCTAACCCTGGGACTTCCCAGCTCACAGTCAACCTATTATTCTCTCTCGCCCTCCCCCCCCCCATTAGGAGGATGGCGCTGTTGTTCATGCTGTGGCTGTGGGCGCTGCAGGATTGGGCCAGGGCACTCAATCCCAGCGACCCCAACGTCTGCAGCTACTGGGAAAGGTGAGCCGTGGGGGTGGCGCAGAGGGTGGTCCAGGGCCCCGAGTGGGAATCCTCGCAAAGGGGTGATGGGGATCCGAAGGGAGGCCAGGCCTGAGGGCTCCGGAAGCAGCCTTAGCCTTCCAGGCAACGGGGCGGGTGGGTGTGAGCGAGGAGCCCCAGCTGAGAAGGGGAGGAAGGCTTCGCCAGCCCTCCTTCGTGGGGGGGGGCACTGGTGGTTGGGGCTCCGTCTCTCCTCCTCTTCCTCCTCCTCCTCCTCCTCCTCGCCACCCCACCCCTGTAGACAATGTGGGAAGGGAGAGCCCTTTCCCCTCTCCCCTCTGGGGCCAGAGGGGCTGCTTGTCCTGCCCCGTTCCCCCACCCCACTCCCCTCAGCTGCAGCGAATCCTGCTCTGAACCCTTCTTCTGGATTCCTCCCCACAGAAGTGGGGCAGGCAAAGGGCCAAGGGGAGTGGGCGGGGGTGGAACCTTGGCTGCCTCCCTTTGTGCTGTTGGGAAAGGCGAGCAGGATCCGAACAGGAGCACAAGGAAAGGGTGTTTTTATCCCCAGGCCAGGAATGTTTGGGGGGTGGAGGCGTTCCTCTTCAGCCGAGCCTCTGGGCCTGAAATCCTTTCTTCCTCTCCCTCCCTCCCTCCCTCCCTCTCTCTCTCTCTCTCTCTCTGTGTCCCTTTCCTTTCCCTGAGTGGGAGGTGAGCATCTGCCCCATCAGCACTTTCCAGCTGCCGTGTGTGTGTGTTCTTCTCTCCCCCCCCCCCCCCCCCCCTCCTCTTTTTTTTTTTTTTTTTTTTTTGTTAAGTGTTGCCCAGGCCTTGGAGGAGCCCTGCGACCAGGCCGCCTGGCCCTCCGCCCCAACCTGCCCACGGCACAAGTAAGAACTCCCTCAGAGGGTCTCCCCGCTTTTGCTACCATGTGCACACAACGGTGGGGAGGGAGTTGGTGAAGGGCCCGAGACACATACACACACACAACCCCCCCCCCCGGCCAGAGGAAGGAGAATCAGGGGAGGAAGAAGGGGGGTGGCCGAGGAGGTGGGCGGACTGTTCCTCGAATCTACCAGACGGTCCTGGTGGGCAGAAGGGCTTCCTCCTTCAGAAAGGGCTCCTCTGGTGCACGTCTTCACGCCCGCTGTGGCTGCTGCGGTCTTTGCTCCACAACTCCTCTTTCATCCTCCTCCTGGTAGCAGAGAGTTCCGGGGGAAATGTGTGGAGATTTTGCAGAAGCCCAGACGTGCTGCGAGTCAGCACTGGGAAGAGGTGGCCGTCCAAATGTGGGTGGTTGGCCGCTCTCAGAAGGCCTGGTGCCGCACTGCCCGCCCTTCCTTCCTTCCTTCCTTCCTGGTAGCGTTCCGGGGGAAATGTGTGGAGATTTTGCAGAAGCCCAGACGTGCTGCGAGTCAGCACTGGGAAGAGGTGGCCGTCCAAATGTGGGTGGTTGGCCGCTCTCAGAAGGCCTGGCCTG